ACATGCCTCGTCCCCTGGGGTTGGTGCTTACTGGGCTGCTGCTGACGACCATGGCCTCCTGAAGCACCTGTGAAAACAGACCACATCACTGATGAATGCTCAAAGTTATTTCAGCTTGTCTGCATCACCCTTGGATGATAAAACTTGGATCTATCTTAGACCAAGGAGCTTATCTTTGACTACTTCTTGTCTAATTTTACACTACTTCTCTTTATACAAGTACAGATGTTAACCCCTCCTCCACACAGATATGTAAGTATGAACATGAACTCACCTTGAGGTTGACTTTGACTGGCACCAAGATCAATGGATTTGATAGCTTTCTCGATGTCCTCGATCTGTGTCATCAGCTTCTTCCCTCCGTCAGCATCCTCGTATTCTTCAGAATCAGATGAATCACTGTCTGACGTTGTTTCTGGAGGGATAGTGTAAAGAATTTTTCCACACCAACCTTCTCCCTTGGTGGCATCCTTTGTAACTTGACATCTATAACACAACCTGAAGGAAAAAGCAGAAACTTATATGAAGATATCATGTCATAAAAATCAACTTATCCTTCTTGGCATAAGGGAGGCGGGAGAAGGCTCCAAGCATCCCCCCCTTTGCCCACAAATTTTAATGTTGATTCTATAAAAATTATGCTGAAGAATTAATCAGAATCTTACCATGATCAATTTTGACCAAAGAAGGCCATTAATATTAGATGCTGAAGAAAAATAAATGACAATAGCTGCACATTTCTCACCACAACTGGTTCTCCTTGTCTCTTGTCTTCTGGAGCTCTATGGTCTTCCCAGCATGCTTCAGGCAAACAAAGGGAGGGGGGCTGGGTAATAACAAGGAAGGGAAGACACACATTTGTCACAAGGACATCTCCACTCAATCTACATGATTCATGTACTTACTAATTACAAATACGAACTTAGCAAGGAATAGACATGTGATTCCAAAATTGACATGCTGTAATTCCAATTAAGTATTGTAGGGAACAACATTGCAGTTGTTCACCCCCTCTTCATCACACGAATAAAAAGGATTGTGCATATTCTACAACTGAGGGTACAGTACTAGTACATAACAAAAATCCAGCCCCTCTCCTGTTCCTTAAACCGCTTTCTTCAAATGCAACAAATGTATCATTACTCTATACTCACTCTAGACCTCCTTACTATCCAAAGGTAAAAACTTACAATATGCCACTGACTCACCTGGCAGGTGTGGTGAAACCACACGACTGGGGCATCTGAGAACACATGTAGAAACTCTTCCCCTTATTTGGACCCTCCCTGACGCCAGTCTTCAGCATACACGGCTTGCCTGGAATGAGGGAGTCATGTAGGATGAAAAGCTATGAAAATAGCTATATCTTGACATGAGCTATATAGTTTTGGTATGAACAGAACAATGCATGAAGTATTTACATTTTTAACATATCCTTTGCAATGTGCTTATTACCTCCGGGGGAGGAGACATCCTTCCGCGGAAGGGTTTTGTGAGAGATTTAGATTTTCATGTTCGCAGCTGTTTCTCGCGTTTGGGTGGACGGATTCGTTTGAGACTCGGTATATGTTTTGCTATTGGGCTGCAGATAATGCACGTTCTTTTGTTTTTATTGCATATGTGTTTTCGGGCGTGAAAATGGTGCATTTTGGTGGCCCCAGAACACCCCTTTGAGCGTGAAAGTGGTCGCGACCGTTGACCTTTGGCGTGTATTAAGTATTGTCGGTCTCGTCCACGAAGGTGACCCCTCGCACAGAGGGGTGTTCGGTCTCGATAAATTCTTTGTTTAAAACCCTAGTCCTGCGGCGAGCAACAATTGTTGTTGTAAACAACATATAAAAATATACAATAAAAAGCCCGGAGGTATAAAATCTCATCAGATTTTACTTGTGTTTATACTGTAACAGATTACACAGGGCAGTTTTGTTTGATACCTCTGGGTATTTTGGACAAGACATTTAAGACTTATGTACTATGTGTACATGCATAAGTGAGCAGGTCTGTTGTTTACGTACTCCCGTACACAGCATTATTCCTTACAGGTGCACAGGTCACCTGTCCGGCATGTGCACAGTTTGTGTCCAAGTTTAAACTTTCACAGGGTGGTTAGGTACAAAACTCCAACACAAATGTTATGTCACTAACTAGCCATGAATGATCATGGTCTCTGCACTTGATGGGTCACCTGCCCAGCATGTGCACACCAATTGCCCATAAAGATGTAAGCTGGGTCTGCCATACGGAGGTTACAAGCATTTTGAGTCAACCCTTATGTTGTTTACATGTGCGTCATGTATCGGCCATGTCCATATTGGTAAGTTGCACGCCCGGGTCACTCCCCCCCCCCCGCGCGCTCAGGTCTTATGACTCGGTGCGTCGGAAACAGATGGAGCCCGAAGCGGCTACAAGAAGGCCCTGTCTTTCCTGTTAGCCGCATTTCAACTGGTAAGTGTCAGTCCTGCTATATCATGCATTTTTGCATGGCTGTCAGATGTTCATAGGGCGACAACAAAATTATTGAGTTGCCATAGATTTGCTGACGTACTGTTTGGGGAAGGGTCGATACCACGAGCTCACGTTCTTCATTACATACAGAGGAGCCCAGTCCGCATTGCCGAGGAATACGAATTCTTGCGTCATCTACGCCCATAGTGGTAGAAATTACTATAGAGGCTCCAGAGTGCATACGTGCCCCCCTCCCCCTTATTCACAATTATTGGGCTGTTCCAAAA